GTTACGAGCATCGCAGTTAGAGAGAACCCGAGTGATGCGCATCCAAGCTTGTCTACCTGGATCCCGCAACGATCCACAGTCTAGAAACAGGAGCGTACAAGACGGCGAATGCGTTGCGTTCATCTCCTTAATGCATTCTCTTCTCCAGCATTCGTGCTGTCTCTGGATCGATAAAACGTACCAAACAGAACCAAGAACCTAAAAAGGATAACAAATTTGTGAGAAAAAAAAAAAACTTTTTTCAGGTCAGTCATGTTGAGAAAGACAAAAGGGTTACTTACGTGGCTCACAAGTAAGTATAGTACGAGATTGTAGGCTGCACCGGACCAGGCTGTTTTGGCTGCAACTCCAGTGGCTTTAATGATCCGACGGTTAAGGGGAAGCATGACGAGAATGCGAGGCACGTACTGTATCAGGACGATCAAGGAAAGTGTGTGGTTCTGATGTGCTGCGTATTTGAATTCTCCAGCATTTGGGATCACAAACCAAATCATTATCTGAGAAAAAAAAAGATTAAAGAAAATATAACACATCAACAATAAATGTAGGCTCTGATTTTGTAACATGAGGAATAGCAAAATGGTTTCATAATTAATGTCACAGGATTTTGACAGTTTTTTTAAATGAAAAAATGTGTTGTTTTTTTGAGATTAGACAAGCATAATGATCCAAACAAGCATAATGATCAAAACAAGCATGAGTCACATCTCTAGCATCGACGGTTCTTTACAGAATTAGTCATGCGACCCTCTCACCGGAGCTGTTACCTTCTACATAGGTTTACGGACTTCTCGCTCTCAAACCCCACTTATTGGATTATATTTACCATACTTTTCAACTTCTTTGTGTTTTTTCTAACGCGTACTTTAGGACTAAAAGTCAAGTTTTCTTATGGATTTTTCTCTCCTTAGCTACATCTATCCCTAGTTTTATTTTAGTTTTTTTTGTTTAGCAGTTTACCATCGAGGATAACTTCGGTTGTAACCTAGTTAGTCCATTGGATTTTTAATTTTAATATAAGTACTTGGTGTTAAAAAATTATGTTTTTTTTCAAATTGATTATGCGTTTTCCATGATACCACAAGTATAACGCACAATTTGTCTTCATGTTTTCACATTATACGATATATCAGCCATTGTTACCTTGGGATCTTTAGAGAATAAAGAAAATGAATGGAACCTGAGGAAGAGGAAGCGAGGCAGTGAGGTCAATAATGAACTCGGATTTAAGGTAACGGATGGCGATTTCACGGCGGTCCATGACAAGCTCCCCGCGACCAAAGACTCGAGACGATTTGGAGACAAAAGCGGTTTTAAATTTAAGAAGGATATGAATGAGGAAGGAGAGATCGGCTAAGGTACGGCAAAAGGTGACGAGGATGCCGAAACCGATGTCGATAGACATACAGGCTGTTCCGGCCTGGACAATAGGGAGATAAAAGTAGAGAGGGTCAAGGAAGAGAGCGAGGAGGCAGGTGATGAGGAAGATGTGGTTCCATCTCGTGATTAGGTCACCGCTTGGGTCGAGGGTTCTGTCACCGAGCTCGGAGAAAATGGATCGGCCGCGTTGGTTTTGGAGGTCGTTATTGTTATGGTTGCGACGGGAGAAGGCCGTCGGGAAATTTCGGAAGCGTGCGGAGGTGTAGAGGTGGAGGTTGCTCATTTTTGGTAGCTTGTGTCTCAAGTTATGGAAGGGAGGGATTTGTGGGAGTGGAATAATGAGGTTAATATTGGAGACAATTAAGGAAAGGAGAGAGTTGTGCCTCTAAACAACTATCAAACATCGTTTTGACTATGTTTTATCAAATGTAGTTTTAAAATTTTTTAATTAAAAACACGGCTTGGATTAGAATATTTATTCTTCTTTTTTTTTTAATCGCGGAAAATTATGTTCAGAAATATATTTGCAATTTAAATATGAAAACTAAAATAAATAAATATCTTAACGACTATCATCTGATTATTTTTACTTTTTTTCAAAAAAAATGACTATCATCTAATAGTTTTTTTGATTCGTAGGCTTTGTTCAAATTGACTCCGTTGATATCATCTTTTAGTTTCTTTGATTGATTGGGTAAGTTGCTGAATTCACAATAATAAGTATTGTCTGTTTAGACAAAATATCTATATACATGTGACTTGCTTGAAAAGTATCATGTTTGTGACTAAATCAATAGCTAAAATATTTAAAATATATATAAACAATGGTTTTTATTACAGCTAACGACAAATTCCGTATTGGCTTATATATAGGAGACCAAAACATTTTCAACTCTGTTTCGACCCTTTTGGTATGGAAGTTTCGCGAGCCAATCCCACACCGGAGAATACCTCCGATCCGCTTATCGGTGACTCTCCTTGCTGTTCCTGCCTCACCTTGGGGCCCTCGTGGTGGCAGCGGAAGACGATCGGTTTAGACAGCAACCACCGCCACGAGCCACGGTGGTGGATACGTGCGATTCTGAAGATCCGAGAGTGGTCGGAGATCGTAGCTGGGCCACAGTGGAAGACTTTCATCCGTCGGTTTAACCGAGATCAACGCCGTGGCCGCGCCTGGGACAACAGCGCCAGACACAAGTACGATACTTTGAGTTACAAGTTGAATTTCAAGGATGAGGGCGAAGACGAAGACGACGATGAAGCTGGATTCGGTGGATTCCGGAGCTTCTCGATGCGCTACGCTTCTGTCCCCGTTGTTTTTGGTAAAGCTCCGGCCGTTATCGGCGTTGACTCCATGAAATAATGTGAATGTTATCTCTTTGGGCTGTGTTAAGTTTGTGGCGGCCGCGTTTGAAAAGTCTCTTGCGTCATGAGTTTTGCGTTTCCTTTTGTTGATTTCTATACGTCAAGTCTGGTTTGATTTATCCATCTTTGAAAGTTATTCCTCTTTCTATGTATCACGTGAATGTATAACTACGGTCTAGTATTTTCGATTGTATAAGTTTTATTTTTAAAACTATTGGTATTGTTAGATACAGTTCATAGTTTGTAGTACGAATAAGTGATTATTGAACTTGGTTTATGTTTTTTTGCCCAACTTATGTTTTCTGGTAGGCTTGTGTTTTTGCTTAATTCTTTCGTGTCCAGTTTCTGTATAAAATCGAAAACGATAATAAATTTAAACATTTTTTAAAAAATATATGTAATATGTGCTTTCATTTTCTCATTTTTCTATTTGTCCATGATCAATTACAGCTTATATTTTATGTAAGGGATAGAGCAAAACCATGCAATTCGAATACGAGATTCCTAGCAACGAAGCGTTCTAGCATCAGTAGAAGGATCATCACCAATTAATGCATATGATTTTTTCTTGACTTTCTTTCAAGCATACAATATCAAAAGTATATTGGCTACAAACAGAGGGAATAGCCTGAGCTTGTCCGCAATCGAGTGGCTCTCTGTCTCATGGTTACGTAAGAAGACGTGATAATAGTATAACAGAGACAATATCGAGATTACAGAGCTGGATCTTTCTGTTTCGAAAGAGCATATCATGGATTTTAGACAAAGTAATACCAACAAATTTTTGATGTTTGAAAAGAGGAAGCAGTTTTGAATTTAGCTCAGTGATCTCTAAAATATCATACATCAAAACAAGGTTCAAAACTGTTTCGTTTCAAAAGCTTTCCCACTGTCCCTCTTTATGTGTTGGTTGACATGACCATTAGCTAAACCATAATCAGTATTCTTACCTAAAAAACATAATTGTGATTAACGTCTCGCATTTAGAGGATCAAGAACCGTAATAAGGTGGAAAAAAACAAGGATATTACGAATAAACTTGACCTATGGAAAACAAAACTGTATTCTTATCCTTAAAATCATTGGATATGGTTTGCCTTGTAATTCATAATCTTCAATTCCCAACTCATTTGCTATAATAAACACTGAAAGTAGAGTGGTCTATGTAGATAATAAGTTTGTGATGTTTCACAATAGCGAGCTTTCAAGAAGTCGAAACTCAAGCATAAATCATAAATGTGAGCAAATAAGAAACACATAGATTGTCCGCTGTATATTTCTTTTTAATAATAATATAGATTTGGGTAGATAAGAGTAAAGATGGGTTTCTGAAACTTCCCTCGAATCAATATAACCAAATGATCAAGAAACAAAACAACATTTTTAGTTGTTAATTATTCAAACTCATTTGTTGTGCAAGTTACAAAATCCTAACAAGACAGGAAGACTTTTTTCTGACGCTCAAAAAGAAAGAGCCACATACCTCTTCTTCCCGGGGTGTCATCTCACATGTCTTGAAGAAGAAGTAGCTGCGCAGGTCATTTCTGCCACGGATTATCACCGTAGTAGTAAGCGGTTCCAACCATCAAGGCGACAGTGGCACCTTGGACGACCACTCTAGCTCTCATCAGAACCTGACCCAACTGAGAATTGCCTCTTCTAAAACTAATCAGCCCAGCCGTTAGCACTCCCGCAGTCGCAAATGCACCTGCAATCCGCAAGAAATGATCAGTTTTTGACTAAGAAAAACAAGCAGCGGAACATAAACACAAATGTTCAAACTATAGTAATCCTCAACATTATTATTTTTTTTTATAGAAAAATGCTTGTGAAGTTGACACATTGAAAGAATCATCAGTCTTTATACTTGCATAAACATATGGGCTTTGCTAGCTGAGATCCTGATGTGGAACAACGATCACTTTACATACATGTATGAATAGATTTTATACAAATCTGGAACTTATGAGATTCTCTCTCTAACGCACAGAAAGAAACAATGGTACATGACAAATCATACAGACCACCGACTCAAATGGAAACAAAATCCCACAATTGAATCTCAATTTCATAGTTTAGAGAGATAAGGAGGAGCAAATTCGATTCCGTTTGATTGTTATAGAAGGCAGGCCTCATAGTTCGATTTCGCAATTGAGATCGAAAGAGAAAGGAAGACAAACCGAGAGGAACGAGGGGATTCCTGACACGCTTCTTCTCCTGGAACAGATCTTCCATGTCTGGTTCTACCCCACTCATCTTCTTTCTTTGCTTAGGTAGAGAATCAATGCGAAAGAAGAAGAAGGAGAAGGAAATCGAAAATAGAGCGTAATGAAAAGCAGTCACGCGTGTCTTGTTCGTCGCCAGACACGACGAGTGTGAAACGGGTCGGTTTTATGGATCTAAGGAAAGAGGTCGGTACGGGTCATATTCTACACTGTTGAACCAAAACAAAATGGGACATAAAAAGTCCACTGGGCTTTCTTCTCTTAATACCAAATGATTTTTGGAAAATTAACATCTAATTAATAATTTACGCAAAATATCATTTCTTTTCCTAGTCGCACAAATGCTTCATGTCACCAAAATTTAGAAAAAAATTGTGTTTGGTCGGATTCTGTAAATACTTTTGGCTTTTCCGTGTTCATTTTAGGGCAGCTCTGTTGCTCGACTGAAAAAGAAAAATTATCTTTTCCAAATTTGTAACTAGAAGAAACATCTAGAAACTCTGTTTGTTTGTTTGTTTTTCCACTCTCTTATTATGTGTTACGAACTTTCCTCACGTGTCGTCCACCATACGCCACCGTTTAACCGGGCAGACGAAACCCACACGTGTGGGTCTAAGAAGATTACAAAACAGCCCCTTCCTTTGAACGTGTGCAAAAGTCAAATCCAGGGGTACTATCGTCACAAGAAAGTTATGAGCGGAGACGAGGAGTTTCCGTTATCTCTTTATCTCTCTCTCTCTTTCTCTCACAGACACAACAAACAAAAGAAAGAAAGAAAAAAAAATCGCACGTTCCTTGTCGCAACAAATCTGATTAGGGTTTTTGAGAATCTCCAATCCTCGTCACGAAATTCGCTACACCTTGGTGTTGAATTCGCGCTTCATCAGCAAAGTCATGGTTTCTGATTCGATCACCAACGCATCTGCCTCTGCAGCCCCAAGCCCGAGAGATATCGGAAAAAAGAAAAGGGTATCTCTTTCTTTCTTCCTCCTCAAATCTCATTCCTTTTTCCTCTCAATTCAATTCCTTTAATTAATTGCATTTGGTCGCAGACGAACAGGTCAGCCAAATTGAAACAGAGCAAGCTAGGTCTCCGCCGTGAGCAATGGCTTTCTCAAGGTAATGATCTTTAAAGATCCAATCTTTAATTTCCATTTTCTTAGGTTCTTGATTCTTGATTTTTGTGTTTTTTTTTACCAATTAGTTGCGATGGTAAACAAAGGGGAGAATGGTCCGAATCGAAAAAGTGGGAATGAAAAAGTTGTTCCGGTTGAGAATTTAGATGGGAAGCGTGGAGGAGGAGAAGAAGCAAATCATCACGAGAGCTTTATGGAATCGATTTCGAATAGCCCAAGCAGTATCCTGAGTGGTATCAACTCAATCCCTGATTTCAGCAGCGGCAGTAGCAGTGGGAGTGGTGGATCTTGCTCTGGTAATATAACAGAGGAAGAGGATGCTGCTGATGCTGATGACGACGGTTGTTTGGATGATTGGGAGGCTTTTGCTGATGCTTTAGCAGCTGATGAACAAAAGGAGAATCCTCCTCCTCCTCCTCAGTCACGTGAAGAGCATTCGAGTGTTATCAAGCAATCTGACGTGGTTGTTAGGGATGATGTGAAGCCAACAATTTCGAGGAAGCAAAAGAGCAACCAGGCGTGGAGGGCAGACGATAAGCTCCGTCCTCAGGGTCTGCCTAATTTGGGAAAGCAGCGTAGTTTTCCGGTTATGAACTTGCATTTTAATTCTGCGGCAGTGCCATCTTCATGCCCCATTTGCTACGAAGATCTTGACTTGACGGATTCTAATTTCTTGCCGTGTCCTTGTGGGTTCCGGCTCTGTCTTTTCTGCCACAAGACCATCTGCGATGGAGATGGCCGTTGTCCAGGTTGCAGAAAGCCGTATGAAAGGGACACGGTCAAGGTTGAGGCTAGTGTTCATGCTGGTGGTCTCACTATTCGGCTTGCTCGTTCCTCTAGCATGTTTTGCAGGTCTTGAAGTAAACAGGAGGATGTGGGTTTTCTCGGACTGTGTTTGTTTTCTCACTCTTATGTTTTTCTTTCCCTCGCATGTTCTATGTTTTTTCACATGTCTTTAAAAACTCTTTAGATATGGGTATAGCATTTGTCTTTTGGCACTTAAGAACTATCATGTATGTTCTTCTATGTCAGTGACTCTTCTTCGTCTGAAACATGTGGTGGTGGTGATGTAGAGTTGTGTGTGTGAGTGAGTATATAAAGTGGTACACCAATTTCAAATAAATAAAGTTGCAATGAGTCTGCTTATCTTTAATATTCTTTAGGTTTATGCCTCCTGATATCTTAGAATGTTATATTTCCTACTTGATTCTCTGCTGCGCGACTGAAACACAGCAGATTGATTGCTATGGTCTCTTTTGTTGATAATACTTCCTTCACTGCAGTATGTTATGCATCCATGAATTGATTGTGCCAGTGCATGATTCTGATGGAAAGCAGATCTGGCAGGAACTTCTTGGTAATATGAAATCTTACTTTACTTGAGTTTAGGTAAACATACATACATACACTTTTGAGCCAAGCTTTCAATATCACGGAATCTAGCAACAGAAGGGAAAATTGAAGTTTATGGATTGTTTTGTTCGTTTTCTTCTTTAGTTATTGTACTTAGCTAGAACTTGGGGCGTTTGCACATCCAATGTTTCGAGGTTAGTGATACTATAAGTAATTTTTAATAACATTGTTCTCTCTGGTGATATATCATTTGGTTCTCTCACTGTGTATATCCTTCTGTCACTGCTAAGGAAGGGTTGTGTGCTGGCTGGGTTCATGCTTGTGTTATGGCTTTAGGCTTGAGAGTCATGTTTTCATTCTAAGATCAGTGTAAAGTGGAAAGCAAATTTGACATTAGAACAGAGAGCTATTACATTACTTCACGATGATCTTACAACATCTTTCTTATTTGTAAGATCATCCTGACGTGGAAATCATATTCTAAAACATTAGAAAACAGAGGTACAATACAATACCTTTGTTGCACAAATGCAAACAAGGAAAAGTTACAATACCTTAAACAATCTGAGATTTTTCAGGATCAAGTGGTTTCACCCATATGCTCTCGCAGCGGAGAAGAGCGTTTGTGTTCCTCGGGAAGTGAATGCCACCACTTCCTAAACGTTGAGCCCTCCAGAAATATTTGCTCATCATCTACCTCCCTGTCTCTGATCCATCCTTCAACTAACTTCTCAAATCTCTTAACCTCAACACTTTCATATGCTCTTCCCTTGAGTTCTTCAACGTCAGCCCAAAAGCAAGATCCGCAACCAGATCCCTTTATCTCCTCTGCACTCTTCCCTGCCTTGAGTAGTTCATGCTCATACCCTCTCTGAGCATGTTTGTATCGGTTTGGTCTTCCTTTAAGCATATAAGGCCCTGTGTCTTCGTTCTTCAAATGTCTGTGGTAGTTTGAAATATCAAGTGGTTCGATTAATCTGCGGTATCGAGTTGATAACTCGATCCACTCTCTGTGACCTTCGAACCCATCTGGAAGTAGTCCTTTCTTCACTAAACCGAGCACCTCGTCAAATAGACCAGCCAGCTCAGCTCTATTGACGTTGGCTTTGAAGTCTTTCTCTTCGTTAGAGTACTTGAAGGAATCATAGTAGCCGTTTTTATGAGTTTTGCACCTCGGCTTGTATTCTTCCTCTATCCATGTCAGCTTCTCTACTATTTTGTTAAGTTTGCTGTATATCTTGGTCTGGTTATCTACTCGTTGTTTCTCTGCCTCAAATGCTGCACGCGCGCATTGTCTGGCTCTTGTGCTCTGAAGAAAGAAACATCAATGTTACTATATGGTTCTAAAAATTGGTCATAGCCGAAACAATTTTCTTAAAATCCAATTTATAGAACTCGAATTGATTTCAGTCATTCTAAATTGGTTTAAAGAGTCATAAATCTATTTAAGTTGATCCTTTTTTTTTGTTTTCCTCATTCTATTTAAGTTGATCTAGATTAGTCTAAATTTATTTAATTAAGTAATGATGTTAGTATAATTCCACAAATCTGACTAAATTTTTTTCGTATTTCTTGTTTTGGTAATTCATCAAATATATTTTTATTATTAAACCCAAAAAATCTTATCCTCCTAAATATTAATTGAAAAGTCAATCTAAAACTAACTATTATCACTAATTATTTTTTAATTATTTTAATTAAATCTAAAATAAAATGTAAGTCTATAAATAATTATTATCTTGCCTAAATGAAATTACTAGTAATAATTTATGGTAGCTAATTCAAAATAATAGAAAAGTGTAATAATGTTTGATCAATTCTTTTTATTTTTATATATTACATAAACTAACGAATAGAAAACAATTTATAGAAATCAATATAAAAATTTCATATTCATATAAAAATATAGTCGTAACTATAATAATTATTAATCTCTTATGATGTCTATATATGTTTTATAAATAATTAGGGTTTGATTAAAAAATATTGAACGGAACATGAGAACTTTGATTAAAAAATATTTAGCATTTAAATCAAATAATATAGTGAATAAGGTAATATTATGATTGAGAAAATTATAAGATAAATTTTTGGTTCATTGATTCTATAGTTTGTATTACTATTTAGAGAGAGAAATAAATATTTGGCAAAAAATATGTAAAAACTAAAAAAACATTAGGAAAAATTTGATAAAAAAAAGGAAATAATAACGAGAAAAATAAAAATAACAAAAAAAATGCATAATATGTGTTGGAGAAGTAAATGTGATAGTTATATATATAATTTCACATACATTTGTTATTACTAAATGCATATTTTTACATCCAATTTATGAAAATTTTATGACATTCTATATATAATATAAATTTTCATATAATATTTATATATGGACAACCAACTAATATAGATATAAATATATATCAAATCATTGAGTATTTCTTGAGCATTATTACTACATAGGGGGAGGAAAGGGGAGAAAGATTTTACCAGCCCGAGGTCACTGAGTGAAGGATCTCCATCCAAAGGCAAGTGATGCAAATCCAGATGATTCAACGGTTTCATGGCCATTGAGTGTACCATTTCTTCATAGCTACGATGATCTCTTATGCTTTGATATGGAACTAGTGACAACTCATGCTGGTTGCGTGACTGAGAAGAGTAAAACAGAATCTGAAGGATGGCGTCTGAGTTGCTCAGTGAGACCAGTCTCGTCCCTGTAGAGAAGACAAAAGTACCTGCTGGTCTGTAAGGACTTAGGTCAAGGAAGCTGGAAAAAGTTTCAAGAAACGCATCTCCATATCCAATCAATTCACAGACAGCTTGGTGAGCAACAGTTGCTGTCTCTTTCATCACCGTTGTGTAAAAACCTGCGATGATCTGGTCGTTTTCTTGGATCGCAGCAGCTCTAGGATCCAACTGGGAAAGAGCATGAGGCATAGCTTGCTTTGTTGATGCTTTGCGAGAAAGCATTATACGAGGGGCAACATCGAATCTTGTGACGAAGTTGACGAAGAAACGGCTCCAGTTCTCTCTCCCAAGAGCGTGGTTGAAGACATAGTCACCGACCAAAGGAGCTCCAAAGGTGAGACAAAGAGGCTCAGGGAAAGGGAAACCAACGCTCCTCTGCTTCTTCAAGTATGTTTCCAAATACCAAACCGTTGCTAAGATCGCAGTAGCACCTCCTGTAGAGTGTCCTGTGAACACTATCCGTTGACTTTGTCGTCTTTCCACAACCGTTTTGACCTGAAATAGTAAGTTTCAGATAATAAATCAGTTAGATATATAGAGTAAAATGGTAACATTCCTCTATATTTGAGTAAACCCAGCTCTAATATATAGTTACAAAACTCTACTTTAAAAGAAAATATAGAGGGAAAAAATAGGATTGGAATAGAGATAGTGTAAGTCAAGAGCTTCTACTTACATAATCACAAAATGAGGTTGTTGGAGAAGTGAGAACTTGAAGATTCTTAAGGAAAGCTTGGTTAACAGTAGCGTCAACGTCGTTGCCGATGCTTCTCATACAAGGGAAGTGATCACGATTCATCTTGGTTTCTCCAAAGGGAGACTTATTCTCTGGAGCAAACCAATCTTTGTCGGAGAAAGATGGTTTGAAAGCGACAAGGACGACTTCCCTGTCTTCTTCCTTGTGGAAGTGGTCGGTGCTGTAAGCTCTGGTCGATGCCATCCATGATCTGGTGATTAGATCGTTATTGATTCCGGCAAGAGCTTCTAACGCCATTGTTTGACTTTTCTCTTTTTGTTCTTGCTTATGGTCTTTCACTCTTTTTTTCTTCTCTGCTGATTAATTCTAATATAAAGCAGAGATGGAGATTGGAAAAATTACCAAAAGTACCCTCACCGAAAATTCGAGCTGATTTCTCCTACATGGGTCTTTTTGGGGATATTTTAAGACTTCTCTTTACTATATGGTTAATGACTATGTAGACGAGTCTTAGCCATCCACGTGGGTAGTTCTCATTGGGTGATTGTTTTGTACGTCCGACATGACTGGAAGTTCGCTGAAATTTCCATAAAGACAAAACATTCGGGTTTTGTTCGAAAGCCTTTCTCAGTTATGAATCTTGCTTTAGAGACTTTAGCTTGACTTGTGCAGTCTTCGTCTCCAATAGATATCCTCTTTTGCTTTGAGATGCCATTCCGATTTTTCTGTAACTCTTGTACAATCCTCAATCCACATTGGTGCGATTTCACTTTTTGTCGGAAATTTCTATTTTTATATGTTTTTTGGGTGAGGAAAGTTTGTATCCCCTTGGAAAAGTTATAGTTTTTATTGACGCTTGACTTGGTTCCTATTAAAGTCTTCATCTGGTAGACTGGTTATAAGACTTTGCTTTACCCCAAGTCTTATCCAGAAGTAAACCGGATAGCTCTCCAATTGTCGAACCGGTTCAATCTCTTTCAGCTGACTAGAATGAAGATGGAAGTGAGTGTGGCAATGTAGAATAAAGTCCCTAATTATAAAACCGAAGCTTTTGTTTAAACTTTTCGATTCCATTATGGTTTGAGATACTCACCAATGTGAATAACCAAACTTCTGTTCTGTAGCAAGTTTCTTCTCTAACCAGTTTGCATCCAGACTTCACAAAAATGGTTATGAGATACTCACCAATATGAAAGTTAATTATATTCAACAATAAAAATGTCTATGAATTTTATATCTTTTATTATTTTTATTTAAATATATAATATTAAAATAATTTTTAAACACATTATCATATAACACAAATTTAGTTGATGAAAAAAAAACGCACAAATTTCTTTTTTATGGTATATTTTAATTATTTAAAACTGACTATAAATTATTAAAACTGCGAAAAGTCTCAAATTAAAAATTTTATGATCAAAGGTTTCTATTTTTGTTATAAAATATACAAATGATCATCAAACCATATGAATATAAAATCTCATTTAAGATATCCAGATTAAAACTATATATTCATTTTAATATAGTATAGATTAAATTATCTACCATATGAAAATCATAAATATTTAATTTTAACATTATATAAATATATATATAAAAATCAAATATCTTTTACAGTTATAACTCGATCAAATCACTAAAATATTTTTACATAGTTTTATTATTTAAAATAATTTTAAAAAAACAAGTGAAATTCTTGTCTTGTGTTGCAGACATGCGCCTAAACAAAAAAAAACAAGCGAAATTCTCGTTTTATTATTTAGTCATCACTCTTTTTTGGTCAACGGAGCAAGATAACTAATTGAAGTTTTTTTTAAAAAAAAAGAAGTTTTGATCGGAAAAATGGATGTTCCTATAAGCACCTCTATTTGATTCAGTTTGAATTACGTGAGAGAATAAAACGTAATGTCTTTGACCTTTTCTGCTAAAGCTTTGGGTCAGTTATTGCTATTTTTTGGAATATGGATGATGCTAATCAGCTCGTTGCAAACATAGAAGGAAGTTAACTCTGATGTAATATTCGGCCAGTCGGTCGGGTTCTCGATCATATCCACTAAGTTCGACAGTTTGCCGCAAGACATATCGAGGAAATATGCATGCCTCTATAGTTTCAAGATCGAACAGACTCAAAATAAAGAACTCTCTTTATTAATCTTTTTTAAGGAAATATTCAAAAACCTTAAGCTCTTTGACACAAACTCTAAAATCTCTTATGGTATGCAACACTCTTACAACTCATGATATAGTTGATATAATTCCTAAACTCATAGGAACTATGTTTTCTGTTATATATTTAAGTGAATGTGAAAGGGTGCAAATGTTTATTTGAACCATTGCAATTGTTTATGAACAATTACAACTACATAAATGAAACCTTGCAACTTTTGGTAATGGCAACCTTTGGTAATAACTACCTTTACAATTGCAACCTTTGGTGATTAACCATTGATAATTGCAACCTTTGGTAATAACTACCTTTATGATTGCAACCCTTGGTGATTAACCATTGCAACTCTTNACACTAAAACTTCTTTTTGTTTCTCTTGTATCTTAACCTAGAACAAGAGTGAGACTTTGATTGTCTTATCCTACAAAGGGATTTCGTGTAACCCAAAGGTTTGGAATAGGGTCGAAATACTCTTTAAGGAAAGTGACCTCGTGCGCGATTCAATCATTATCCAAGTATATAATTCACAAATTTCTGGGTTACAACCCACCTAACCAACAATCTTAAAGAGTATTTTTTCTTGTGAATTATGGCTGGTGTATCAGTGCGAGAGATGACATCAAAGTTTGGAAAGTTGGATAAATTTGAGGGAATAGACTTTAGAAGATGGCAAAAGAAAATGCATTTTCTCCTCACAAATCTGAATGTAGTGTATGTTCTAAGCATACCTATGCCTACTGTGCCGGAGGATGTTGAGAATGAGTCTTTGGATGAGACAAGGAAGCAACTTAAATGGGAAAATGATGATTACATATGTCGTGGCCATATTCTCAACGGTATGTCAGATCCTCTTTTTGATGTTTATCAGAATGTCGAATCCGCAAAAGAGTTGTGGGATGCATTAGAATCAAAGTACATGGCTGAGG